AACTCCACTTTCTCACCTGCTCTTCAGGATAAATGCCTAGGTGGTGCCATTAGCGTCTCCTCCGGAGAGCCACCTTTACACCTGGTGGCAGAGGGCACAAGTGCCCCTAGGGTTTCCCGACAACAAACGCTCTACAATGAATGAGCAGAGGGCACAGGAGCTCTCTCCAACCTGCTCCCTCGTGAAAAGGTCAACCTCTGGAAGAAGTCTGTGCAGTTGACAGGAAGGGGAGGAGAACTGAGACCTTTAGTGGCCTTTTGTCTATTGTCAAATAGCAACCCCCTTTCAACTGCCGGCACCTTTCCCAGCTTCACACGTAAAATCAGCTCCTGCCCAGAAGTAACTGCAATAGCAAAATGTCCACCAAAGAAGAGGCCAGTGAACGAAGAGCTGCTGAGACAGCAAGGCTTGGAGGATTACCCCGCTGTCCTGTTGCTGAATGCAGACAACTCAAAGGGTCGCTGCATTCTAGAAGCCGTATTTCAGTTTGGACTTCATCGTGTAAGCTGTGAGGAGGAACTGGGAGATTCTAGACAGGGAAATGGCACAATCAAGTCTCATGTTTTCAAGTTCACTCTGGTGGCTCTGGAAGATGCAGTGAAGTCCAGGGGCAGGGGGACGGCAGTGGCCCAGGGAAGAGACACCAGAGTCTGGACGAAGGCAGTGGTGATGGGGAGAAGGAACAGGATGTATTTCAGGAGCGCACGCAGTGGGCCGGTGCCAGGTTCTCAGAGGTGAGGGGAAGACAGAGTACATGAAGCGAAGACCATGTATGTAACTTCTCACAACCTCGTACTATCCCAGAAATTACAGAAATGTAGAGGACTCACGTGGTAGATGACCATGGAACATCACCTCTGTTTCCTTACCTTGGCAGCAGAGTTAGACACTCCATGGGTAACATTTCGGATAAGGCCCCCGACATTTCCATACTTTATCAGTCCAGTGACCCCCTCAGAAACGTCATTCAGAAGCCCCATGGGATTGCCAAGGAAGTCCACGGACCCCAGGATCCGCGCTGCCTGGCTGAGGAGTTCCTGTCACGTGGAGGAGGGAGACAAAAAGAAGAGCAGCCCCTGTTTATACTGCAGTGTCCCAAGCACAGAGGTTAGAAATCAGCCTTGTCCCCCATTCCATCAACACCAACAACCTCCTTTCCATTCTCACCAACTACAAGCTCCACCTACACTTCTCCCAAATGCACATATCCCAGAGGTTGCCCCCAACACTCATAAATTTTCCTTAAAAATAATCCTCAAAGCCATTCAGAAGAATAAAAAAGGTATGAAACAGGAAAGATTCTTTACACGTATTTACATTACTATGTGCTCAATATTCATTGTTCCCACAAATGGGGAATTAACCAGCAGCAGAGAGAATGTGAAAAGTGAGGGAGGAGGGAAGGTCTGGGGTCCCTCATGATCCAGGCCCCAAAGAGGACACGTTCAGACCTATCAAGAACCCCTCCATTTTCTGTGCACCTCCACCGCCTGGGTCCAGGCTCCGGGGACACCTGCCCTATCGCTCTCCTTACAGTTCAGTGGAATTATCAGCAATTAGGAAGAGCAAGGAAGGAAACAGAGGGAAAAGTGGAAAATGGGGAGGAGGAGGGAAGGAAGCGAGAAGAGGGTATCTTTTGACTTTGACAGCGAATACATTTGATATGACCATGACCTATCTATTCGTTGAGGAGTATGCCTCGGCTTTATGTTTTGGTCTTTGCAGCCTGGATAGTAAGTACAAATGGAAAATGTCCAACTTGATAAAAACATTTTTTTTTAAAGTTCAACTCTAGGGCAGGATCTCACAGGCTCTAATCACATCGGGTGATTGTTGAAAGGAGGCCCAGGCCTGGTAAATAAAGAGTTCACAGCATTTTGTGTTATCATTACAGCATCAGTTAAAGTCTTGAGAGTTGTGACTAATCTCGTGGAGGCCCCTGAGACTGGTTCTGAAGGACCAGACTCACGGCTCATAAATCAAATGCACTGTTTCGGGGTTTTCATGATGTGTCCAGGCTTCGTGGGCCATGACCCATAACTCAACAACCTCAGCTGAAATGTGGGTTCTCCATAGTAATGTCTTCGTAGCCAAATTTCCCAAGCAATAAAGCAAACACCCTGCCTATGCTCCAGCTCTAGACACCTCTCCAAAGCTCACCTCCTGGAAATGTTTGAGGATGTCATTGATGATGAACTCCTTGGTCTCATAGGGATGGACCCGAGTGAATGGATCCAGATTAATCACAGCATCTTCGAACCGAATCAATGGAAATCCCAAGGTACTTTTTAGAGCCTAGTTAGGGAAGGAAGAAAAGGACATAGTTAGGCAATACGATGGCCTTCCAGGGCACTTAATTCTGGATTCCATGAGAGTTACAAGTCATGTCAACTTTCCCATGGGAAGAGGGCTCTGATATTTATAAACAAGGAATTTCCCTGTAATTATAAGAGGAAAATATATATGTATCGCCCAAAATAACATGTATCACATAGAAATAAACACTATTGGCTTCGCAGTGTAATTCTTCCTGATGTTTTGTATCTGTGTGTTGTCATACTTTACTTTTTGACTGAAGTATACCAAACATACAGAAAGGTGTACTGATTAAATGTACAGGTCAACGACTTTCCCAAAGAGAACACAACCATGGAACCATCCACACTAGAAAATAGATTATTGCCTCCACCCTAGAAGCATCCCCTCCCTCCCCATCTTCAGACTGCCAGTCACTACTCCCTCTGCCCCTAAGTCACCACTAATCTGACTTCTATCACAGCAGATTAGTTTTTCCTGCTCTGAATTTTATCTAAATAAAATCATTCGAGGAGAAACCAAGATGGCGGCATAGGTTAACGCCGGAGATTGCTGCCTTGAACAACCAATTCAAAAATACACCTAAAAGACGGAACGGACATCATCCAGAACCACAGGAAGGCTGGCTGAGTGGAAATTCTACAACT